AAATAATAAATTTTATTTTTTAATTAAAATTATTTAGCAGATCGTCAGTCTATCCCAGTGGTTCCCAATGTGGGCCCCACGCCCCACAGGGGAGCAGTTTGATTTTTGATGGGGGCAATTGGAACCTTGTTTAAACCAAGTTAATGGCCTTTTAGGTTTCCTCCGCGTGAGTAGGAGTCATTTTTTGAATAGTAAGAATTATATGTCATGGGGTGGGGGGCATCAGGATTTTAGAGATGCTTAGGTGGGCCAAAAAAAGGTTGGGAACCACTGGTCTACCCTTTTCTAATTAACAATTTTTATGTGCACTTTAAAAATGGAAGTGTTTTAAATGAGTAATCATTAATCTTGATAATGTGATTTGATTGTACTTTATAATTGGATCTATTTCCATAAATACCTTTATGTGAAGTTGGTATCAATAATAAAAAGTTTATATTACATATGAATCCATAAGTGGATGCATGAAGAAGAAAATAATAATATTGTTTCTTTCCTCTGAAAGTTTCTGAATATTTAGTATAAATTTGCAGAGATAATTATAGGTAATCCTCAATTTACAGCTACAGCTGAGCCCAAAAATTCTGTTTGTAAGCAAGACAGTTATTAAGTTAATTTTGCCCCATTTTTTGACCTTTCTTGTCACAGTTAAGTGAATCACTGCCATTGTTAAATTAGTCACACAGTTGCTAAGTGAATCTGGCTTCTCCATTGACTTTGCTTGTCAGTTGCCAAGCATTTGAATTTTGATCATGTGACCATGGGGATGCTGCAATGGTTGTAAGTGTGAAACAGTCATAAGTCACTTTTTTCAGTGCCATTGTAACTTTGGTTATTAAATAAACTGTTCTAAATGAAGGACTACCTGTATACATTATATGGGCAATTTTTTATAGGACTGGAAATGTTATACTTAATAGTAACGTAATAATTTGTCGGGCTTTTTAGCTACATAATCTGCATTTTTATTATTCTTTCAAATTTCGAAAAGGTTACTGGTTTACAGATGACAGGTAATCCAAGTAATCCAGGAAACAGTTATCTACTCTGGCAAATCTGTGTTAAATAAGGATGTTTATGTATATAAGTGAAAAGTCTACTATTGTAAATAACATCATTTCATCAATAATATATTTATGAAACTAGGGCAGGGGGTCAAACTGCGGGCCAGATCCGGCCCACGGGGTGCTTAGATCTGGCCTGTGGGGCCACCCTGGAAACAGAGAAGGACCGGTCCATGGTGCCTCTGCCAGTGAAAATGGACCTCAGGAGGGCCACACGCAGCCCTTCCGAACTTCATTTTTGCGGGCAGAGGGTTGCAGGATGCTGTCCCAGCCGAAAACAGAGATCGGGAGCCCATTTTTGCTGGCAGAGCACTTGGAACACCACAGGCACCTCCAACACGAGTGATGTCAAGCTAGGCATGGCCACCCTGGCCATACCCATCCCGGCCTCTCAAGGTCAAACACAGCTCTGATGTAGCCCTCAATTAAATCGAGTTTGACACTCCTGAACTAGGGCTTCAAACTATCTGCTTTTTTTCTTTCTGAAATACTGCTGTGATTTTATAAAAATACTTCTATTTTTCATCATTATAATTATGTAACACTATTCCCAGCATATTCTATTATATAATTAAACTATATAAGAAAATGGTTCAAATACTTCAGTTTTTCTAATTTATACTATAGCCATTATTGTTGAATTATACACTTTTGCTCATAACTTAGTTCTATTGGCAGAATTTCAGTCTATACTATCTTTGATAAACTGGTCATTCTCTCACACAACAGCTCATAGTAATATATTGTAGACTCTTTCTGGCTTAACAGATCTGATACAAAGGATTTAGTCAGTCATCTAGAAAATCTTGACATAAATATAAATATCACTTCCTTTTCAATTGAAATATGCACAGGGCAACATGAATTCTATGCTAAGGACTATGCATAATCTAATAATATGTGTAATTAATTTTTGAAAATTTAAATGGTAGTCTTGATGGACACCGCATGATTAATCTGAGCCACGTTTGTCTGATTAGCTTTTTCTTCTTGTCCCCTAGCTGTAGCTTAGTCATCTCTCTCCTGTTTACTCAGAATATAAAACTTTATTCTCCCCCATGTAAAGTGATAGTAAGTAAACAGGAGAGACCATAATGAAAACCATTTGATATTTTTTTTCTACTAAATATATATTGGAAATTTAAAGTAATATTTTTACATGTTATACCAGCCTTTGCCAAACAGGCACTTTTCAGATGTATTAGACTTCAGCTGCTATAATGCAATTGGAGTCCAACATATCTGAGCTTAAAGATTAAAGAAATGTTGAAGTGAATGGAGATACTTTGTCAGTGTTTGGTCTTTTAACTGGCCATTATGTCTTCGCATATAATTTTTCAGCAAATTATACCCATTTAGTTTTGTCTAGACCAACTTGTGGTAATAGATTTAACATTTTTCAAAAGCTAATAAGTTGGAACAGTTTCTTTTAATCTTTTATTACATTAAATGTTTGTGGATGTTTGCACGTGAAGTCAGTGCTTTTTTTTGAGATTTCATAAATATGGCAATTTATAGTTGTTGAATAGTCAATTGTAGTGTTATAAGCATTAAATGTTTTACATCATATCTTTTGTTGCATTAGATATACTGTACATACTTGGTTTTTGGTGGTTTTTATCTACTGACAGATTATACTTTTTTTCTCTGATAAACAGGTTTTGTAGATTTTTGTAACTTAAAAACCATATATGAATACAGATAATTATAGCCTTCTGCAGATGTTAATAATTCACAAGGAATGCATATAGTGATTGTGGCAGGCTCTGCCTTTGGGTTTTGTTTACTATAAGTTGTAGAGAGCCACTGTATGCAGGTAATATATAGAAATCATATATTTATTGTATAAACCCATTTTGAGATAGCTCCCATATTGCCTGGCCCATACAAACGTTTAATGTATCCCCATTAATGATGAACAAGACTAATCAAACAAAAAAAATAAGGTTCCCAAAACGTTTTTAAAAGTTTTTGATGTATTATTAAACTTTCCTAACTATTATTGTATTTGATATATTGAAAGTAGTAATTTCTTTATTTTCAACATCAATTTCCTAATTCATTAGCATTCAGAATAGACCAAAGGTAAATGGATGAATTTCTTTTGATTTTCCGATTGGGGTTTTTTCAGTATTTTCATCATAGAAATTATGCTAGTGCTGTGTTCTAATTTGACTTGATCGGATTTGAAAGAGTTTAGAACATGAAGGATTACAAATAGTCAGTTTCCAGGTTCCCATAGTGGCAGCAAAAGCTTCCTGGCAGCTGCCATAGGATCTCCTATGATGCAGTTGCTTTCCTCAGTCACAGACAAATGATCATGCTGCTATATTTTCTGGTGCAGTCCTGCAAACCACACTGAAAAATTTATAAGTTTCTAGTACAAATGGAAATACCTATTCAATTTGCTTGTTTCGGGGTAGAATATACTGAAAAAACAAATGTGCTACTTCTTTAATTCCATTTTTAGAAATCATTTTATTGACTTTCGGCCTTAGATCCAGATCCAGACTCAGAAGATTTTTATCAACTTCCTCTTCCCCTTATTTTGTTTCTGATAATCTCCTAAATTTTTGTTTCAGATATGAAGGGGGCAATATTTTGGGGAAATTGGTGAAGATTGCTTCTCTTCTTTTCATAAGACTAGTTAATTATTATAGTATCACTCCTTGAAAGTCTGGATTTTAGCCATCATATTTAATATACCTTCAGTTGATAATGGTTGACTCCAGTGGTGGGTTTCAAAAATTTTTACTACCGGTTCTGTGGGTGTGGCTTGGTAGGTGTGGCATGGCTTGGTGGGCGTGGCAGGGGAAGGATACTGTAAAATCTCCATTCCCATCCCACTCCAGGGGAAGGATACTGTAAAATTTCCATTCTGTCCCCAATCCAGGGGAATGTTACTGCAAAATCCCCATTTCCCCCTGATCAGCTGGGACTTGGGAGGCAGAGAATAGATGGGGGCAGGGCCAGTCAGAATTTTTACTACCGGTTCTCCAAACTACCCAAAATTTCTGCTACTGGTTCTCCAGAACTGGTCAGAACCTGCTGAAACCCACCTCTGGTTGACTCTGTTTTTAACAAATTTTGGACAGACAGAGCAGTGAATAGATTCTGTTGATCTTGTTTAAATGGCCTCAGAGCATAGCATAAAATTAATGGAGGAGCCTGTTGGTGTCCCTTTGCTGATATTAGTAGATCTGGATTGCTGTTCTTTATCCACTTATGAAACAGTAATAGAAAACATCTTCATCTGACCCTCTGTATAAGAATTAGTTACAGTGAACACATTTACAGTATATATCTTGCTGGCAAAGTTACAATTTCACCATATCAAGTAGAGTATTCAGTCCTGGGCACTATACTTAGGAAATATTTTAAAAAAGAGACAGAGAGCAAAGAATGACAGTGAGGAGGATCAAGGGACTGGAAATTAACTGATATGAGAAGAGATTGAAGGAACTGGGATAGGATTTCCTGTGAGAAAAGATAACTGAGAGGAGATCAGTAAGATTCTTCAAATGTTTGAATAGATGCCACATAGAAGAAGGACAAGAGCTTTTCCCTGTTATCTCAAAGTATATAGTGTACAGAATAACAGTCTTAAGTGACAAGACAACTTCATTTGAGTATTAGGGGAAAGTATTTTGCTGTTAAGAATAGTTTGACAGCAGAATGAATTACTGAGAAAGATACGTTCCTTTTGTTAGATATATTCAAATAGAGATTGAGTAACAGTAGTATTCACTAAGGATATTTTTCTTTGGCTTCATGCACTTAGTGGGGTTTGACTTCATTGGCCATTTCCAATTCTATTAGTCTGTGCTGTGCAGTGTAAATTCTTAAAAGGATTTATCACACATGCCTAAAGAGCTTTGAATTTTTGTTCTTCCCTGCCTATAATTTCATAAGAGGTATGCTTTTATTTATATATAGGCACCACAAAAGTGAATTTGGTGAAAATCCCATCAACTGTTTCCAGCCCACGAGACACTGCTCTCGCTGCTGTGATATGCAGTGCACTGGCAACCGTACTTTCAGCGCTCTTCATCCTGTGTGTTATCTATTGCAAGAGACAGTTCATGGAAAAGAAGCCAAACTGTAAGTTCCTCTCCCCCCCACTCCCGCCATAACATTACATTTATTACTAATATTCTTAACCTTGTCATCTTTATGTTGAGTTTTACCATCTAATAAATGTCTGTGAAAAAAAAAAATTAATTGAGCTTAACTAACTGTAACTTAAGTGTAACCTGGAGTTGATTCACAGTTTCCCAAATGTAATTTTGATCAATTACATCAAAGAGGATAAATAATGTGAATATGTTGAATATATACTCCGTCTATACCTGTCTTGATTTTCATGCCATTTTGTGAACCATTCAAAAGATCATACAGAAATACATCAAAAATTAATATCCCAAATTCATGTTGCAGTGTGAAAACTCTGAGAGTCGGAAGAAAGATTAGCAGTTAACTTCGGATACTTTGTGCTACTCAGTTGTATTTAGATTTTTTAAATTAGAAAATTATGGAAAAAAGAGATATGTTATTCAGAATTACAGATTATTGTAAACCTTTAACAACAATTTAGGCTCTTGTTGGAACTTCAGCTTTCTTCTGCCAAATATTTCTAATTATTTTTCTTAATAATGAGGATCCAGAATTAGAACATATTGAAATAGGCATAAAGCAACAAGATCCAAGAAAATGTTTTAATTCATATTATGTGAAAACTTTTATTTATTTATTTATTTATTTGTTTGTTTAAATTTCTATACTACCCTTCTCCAATGTAGAACTCAGGGCGGTGAACAGCCAAAATAAAAACAAGACATACATACAAAACATACAAAATCTAAAAACTGATTAAAATAATTAAATCTTTTGGCCATAATTAAAACAATTCCAATTTAAAATCAGTTTAAAATTTGACTCAAGCCAGCCCAGCTAGTTGAAATAAATGGGTTTTCAGGGCCCGACGAAAAATCCGGAGGTCTGTTATTGTACGTAACTCTGGGGGAGGTTGTTCCAGAGGGTGGGCGCCACCACAGAGAAGGCTCTCCCCCTGGGGGTCGCCAGCCAACATTGTCTGGCGGACGGCACCCTGAGGAGGCCCACTCTGTGTGAGCGTACTGGCCGGTGGGAGGCTATTGGTGGCAGAAGGCGGTCTCGTAAGTACCCCGGCCCTAAGCCATGGAGCGTTTTAAAGATGGTCACCAACACCTTGAAGCGCACCCGGAAGACCACCGGGAGCCAGTGCAGCTCGCGCAGGAGAGGTGTCGCATGGGAGCGCCTCGTCGCCCCCATAATCCCCCGCGCGGCCGCGTTCTGGACCAGCTGGAGCCTCCAGGTGCACCCCAGGGGGAGCCCCATGTAGAGAGCGTTGCAGTAGTCCAGGCGGGAAGTGACGAGTGCCTGAGTGACTGTGCGTAGGGAGTCCCGATCTAGAAAGGGGCGCAACTGGCGTATCAGGCGAACCTGATAGAAAGCCCCCCTGGCCACGGCCGTCAAATGATCTTCCAAAGACAGACGTGCATCCAGGAGGACGCCCAAGTTACGAGCCCTCTCCGTGGGGGCGAGTGATTCACCCCCAATAGTCAGCGATGGCATCAGCTGGCTATATCGGGACGCCGGAAGCCACAGCCACTCGGTCTTGGAGGGGTTGAGTCGGAGCCTGTTTCTCCCCATCCAGGCCCGCACGGCCTCCAGGCACTGGGACATCACTTCAAGGGCATCATTGGGGTGGCCTGGGGTGGAGATGTACAGCTGGGTGTCATCAGCGTACTGATGGAACTCCACCCCGAAGCCACGGATGATCTCACCCAGCGGCTTTACATAAATGTTGAACAGAAGGGGCGAGAGGACCGACCCTTGTGGCACCCCACAAGCAAGGTGCCTCGGGGTCGACCGCTGCCCCCCTGTCAACACGGATTGCGACCGGTCAGAGAGGTAGGAGGAGAACCACCGCAGAACGGTGCCTCCCACCCCCAACCCCGCCAACCGGTGCAACATGATACCATGGTCGATGGTATCAAAAGCCGCTGAGAGGTCTAACAGGACCAGGATAGAGGAGCAACTCCTATCCCGGGCCCTCCAGAGATCATCCACCAATGCGACCAATGCCGTTTCCGTGCTGTGCCCAGGCCGGAAGCCGGACTGGAGCGGGTCTAGATAGACAGCTTCATCCAGGTACCGGGGAAGCTGTTGCGCCACCACACTCTCAACAACCTTCGCAACGAAGCGAAGGTTGGAGACTGGACGATAGTTAGCCAAAACAGCCGGATGCAGAGAGGGCTTCTTGAGGAGGGGCCTCACAACCGCTTCTTTCAAAGCGGCCGGCAGGACCCCCTCACTCAAAGAAGCGTTAACAATCTTCTGGAGCCAGCCTCGTGTCACCTCCCGGGAAGCCAGTACCAACCAGGAGGGACACGGGTCCAATAAACATGTGGTCGCGTTCAGCCATCCCAGGACCCTGTCCATGTCCTTGGGAGCCACAGGATCGAACTCCCCCCAGATAACGCTCTCAAGACCTGCCTCAGTCATCCCGTCCGGACATACCCAGTCAGAGGCCAGCCCTTCCCGAATCTGAGCGATTTTGTCATACAGATACTGCACAAAATCCTCAGCTCGACCCTGCAAGGGGTCATCCCGCGCTTCCAGATGGAGGAGGGAGCGGGTCACCCTAAACAGGGCGGCCGGGCGATTATCTGATGACGCGATAAGAGCGGCAAAATAGCTAGTTTTCGCCGCTTTTATCGCCACTAGGTAGGTCTTAATATGAGACCTCACCAGTGTTCGGTCAGATTCGGAGCGGCTGGTCCTCCAACTACTCTCCAGGCGTCTTTTCCGGCGCTTCATCTCCCTAAGCTCCTCGGAGAACCAAGGAGCTAGGTGAGTTCGGTGCCGGGTCAGAGGCCGCAAAGGCACGACTCGGTCCAAGGCCCCGGCAGCCGCACTATCCCAGGCGGCCACCAGGTCCTCAGCCGAGTCATGAGCCAGAATCTCAGGAAATGGCCCAAGCTCCATCTGGAACCTATCAGGGTCCATCAGGCGCCTGGGGCGGAACCACCTGGTCGGTCCCGCCTCCCTGCGGCGGGGTGCAGCGGTTAGAAAGTCCAGTCGAAGGAGCGAGTGGTCAGTCCATGACAAGGGTTCGATGGCTATATCCCCTATATCAAGGCCACTCAACCACTGACCAGAGACAAAAACTAAGTCCAGAGTGTGTCCCCCTGTGTGAGTGGGGTCATGAATTAACTGAGTAAGGTCCATGGCCGTCATGGAAGCCATGAACTCTCGAGCCACTTCAGACGTTTCACCGATAGATGGCAGGTTGAAATCCCCCATGATGACAAGTCTGGGGGTGTCCACCGCCACCTCGGCTATAACATTAAGCAGCTCGGGCAGGGCCGTTGCCACGTGGCAGGGAGCCAGGTACGTGACCAACAAGCCCATCTGTACTCCATGTCCCCACTTCACAAAGAGGGACTCCCATCCGGCTATCTGTGGAACAGTGGTCTCCCTTGGATCCAGACCTTCCTTTATAATAACCGCCACCCCCCCCCCACCCCTGCCCTGAGCCCTCGGCTGATGAAATGCACGGAAGCCTGGTGGGCATATATCCACGAGGGGGGCTCCCCCCTCCTGGCCCAACCAGGTCTCCGTAATGCCCGCCAGGTCCGCCTCCCCCTCCTGAATAAGATCGTGGATGAGGGGGGCTTTATTAACAACGGACCTGGCGTTGCATAACATCAGCCGGAGGCTCGGGCCCTGATAATCTGGACAACCTGGGGAACAAGAAAAGCATTGGGGACCGGAGTACGCAATCGCTCTAAGATAGCGAGTGCGCATTCCCCGAACATGATATGGTCCCCAGCTTCCGCCATATATGCTCCTCCCACTCACTGTGTTGATGGAACAGCCCTCTTCAAATCGAACTCCAACCCCTTCCCCGACCTCCGGTTCTACGTCCCTAATGTTGCCCTTCGCTAAGGCTGGTCTTGAACCCGGTGGATTTCCCCCAGAACCCACCCTAATCCCCCCCGAACCCCTTAAAATTTTTGTTAAAAACCCACTAAAAAACCCACTTAAAAAACCCCTCAAACTCTTCTTTGCCGCATGCCGTCTCTCGGGGCTCCAACGATTTATAATAGGTGCTCTAAATTAAATGAAAGTGTAATGTTACTAGATATGATTATAAAATAATTTAAATGTAAATAAAATGGGTTAACACCCAGTGTCAATATCTTTTCTGTTCTAAAGGGTCTGTACAATCACAGGATGTTCACTATGAAGGTTCAGAACTTGCATGTTTTGATAGATCACAACTTAATATATATGAACATAGAACATGCTGCCAGGGCCAGCAGGATTCATTACAGATGTGTGGTAAGTATGGTCTTAAATTACTTGCTGGGTTAGTCTAAGTAGGAGAAACACAGTGAAGCTGAAATTTGAATGAAGCATAGAAAAGTAACTATGGATAAATTGCTATTTAGTATGCAAGATGTTACACTAGCAAAGATTCCAATAGGGATAAAGTAATAGAATTACTAGCATTTAATAATATAAAGCAAATCAAAATTACAAATGTAAAAATATATGTTTCTATGATTAAAACTTTAAATGAAGGCTAAATGCAACACCACCATCACAAAGGCTAAATGTGTTATGAAGATTTTGTATAAGAGCAGATATGAGCCCTGTGCTGTGACATTCTCAAACATATGATTATCATCATCCATCTCTTGCCCCTTTCCCCAAAGTGGATGGAGGACGGATTGTTTGGCTAGGCATTAAATTCTAATGTCACCTAAACAACTCCTTTTGTTGTTGATATTTTCTTGCATAACAGAGAGGCGAGAGCCAGAGGCCAACAGCTGTTCTTCACTATGTGTCAACTATACACTATGGGAGTTGTGTGAACCAGCTCATAGCTAGTCTCAACAAGTATAAATTATGTGCATTTCTAGAAAACTCTATGCACTTTGTTTCTTATTTAAGGTTTTCTTTTTTCAAGGTCCAGTGCATCTGATTCCATCGCTGTGCTGTGACGAGTCCTGTAGCTTTGAACATAGTTGTCATAGCTGTCCTTTTCACTCTGAGACTACACTTCATGAAAGGTACTTCAGGTTTTTAACTTCTGCCTTTTGCTAACTCTTCTACTGAATATTTGTTTGTCCTTATTACATGATAGATTGGAATATATGATATCCTGTAGAGTTTTCAGTCAATGGAATAGACATTTCGGGACGCCTTGCGCACGGTCACTCATGCCCTTGTCACCTCCCGGTTGGACTACTGTAATGCTCTCTACATGGGGCTCCCCTTGAAGAGCATTCGGAGGCTCCAACTGGTCCAGAATGCGCCCACGTGACACCCCTCCTGCGCGAGCTGCATTGGCTCCCAGTGGTCTTCCGGGTGCGATTCAAGGTGTTGGTTACCTCCTTTAAAGCGCTCCATGGCATAGGACCCGGGTACCTTCGAGACCGACTTCTGCCACCAATAGCCTCCCACCGACCAGTCCGCTCCCACAGAGAGGGTCTCCTCAGGGTGCCATCGGCCAAGTTATGTCGGCTGGCGACACCCAGGGGGGAGGGCCTTCTCTGTGGGAGCCCCAGCCCTGTGGAATGAACTGCCCCCGGAAATACGTAAGATCTCCGACCTCCGGGTGTTTCGCTGCGCTCTGAAGACCCTGTTGTTCCGCCAGGCCGGGCTATTAACATAACGTTTTAAATTGGGGTATTTTTAAATTCCTGGGATTTTAATTGGAGCCTAATTATTTAATGATTTTAAATTTTAACTGTTGTTTTTGTTTTTGTGTTTTTAAATAGGCTGTAACCGCCCTGAGTCCTTCGGGAGAAGGGCGGTATAGAAATAGAAATAATAAATAAATAAATAAAATTTCTAACAGATTCAATCACTAATTTGAAAGGGAAAGGGGAATGTGCAATATGCAGGCAAAAGCCAGTTCAAGTAAATTAACTATATTCTAACTATATTCTACTCTGTACTGTTGTTTTTAAAGTGTTCAGTTCTGTTGCACTTTGGTTAGTACTGAAAAGCATAATTTTGTTGTGCCTATTTCCTGCATTTTGAACTTCTCTCCTTCCCTGTCACTTGCAATAATTATAACTGACAGTATGGTGTAAAATTATATTATTAATTTTTTAATTATATCTTTATGCCATCTGCTCCCAATGCAGAAATTTGACACAAATCATACTTTCACTCACGAGAGCCACACAGGATGTCACCACCACACATCCACGCAGAAAGCAGACTCAAACCCACACTGATAATGAGCCACGACCAAGGACCAGAAGCCAGACCGCAGCTGCATCATTAGCCACTTTAAACCCCTCCAATCCATACATGAAGCAGACTGACACCCACCATGAAGAGCTCGCACGGCCACAAACACGAAGCCAAACAACAACAACGCAGCTCACCAGCTCAATTTTTTTTTTTTTTTTTTTTTTATCGCATTGTATGTCTCTATGTATATATATATATACATGTATATATATATATACATATATACATACAATGCGATCTCCCATTGCTCCTGGAAGCACGAAGCCGAGAACACCAGCCTGAAGATGACGAATGAGACTTCGTCGAAACGTCGCCAAGACACTTCCAATTTTACGTGGGAGAAGACCCGAATAACCAAAGACCTACATATATACATATATATATATATATATATATATTAATGAATCTTCTTGTTTCTCAACTTTTTACAGGAATTCAAATTCTGTTGGAGAAATGATTCCAGCATTTCTTGGTTCTCTTTCACATTCTACTTGTGGAGATCTTTCAGATGCTTGGCCTCTCATCCAAAAACCAGAATGTTGTGATAGTATTTCTTTCTCTGAATCATACCCTGAACTAGTGGGAGAAGATGAAAATCTTTTCAGCTCCTTAGAGATAGAAAGAGACGTTATGGAATCAGAGAACAAACAGGATTTAAGTGTAGTCACATCTACAAACCCTCATTTTGGAAACTTGACAGAATCACCTGAACTTTCCAGTATCACTGCTCCCTTAAATCAGGTTTTGGCTGCTGAACCATTCTCAGCAACAGAGTATGACAGAACAAACTGATAAACAGGTAAGCGTTTAAATAGTTTAAATGAAACTGTTAAGCAGTATTGTCTGGAATAATTATTTTCTTGTTCAATTAAATGGACATCACAAAGATCCTGTCTTCTTCATTAATTAATGAAGGAAGAGAAAATTACAGAAAAAAGTTATTTTAAAACTACTTTTCTCCTGCAAGCTCCCAGGAGTGGCCAAGAATGAGTTGAATCGTCTGTTTCCTGTTGAGACCGAGCTGTCTGTTTCTTTTAGCCACACCTCCTTCCTCCACCTTCCTGCCCCAGTTTCGGCTCAGTCTTAACCTAAACAAGATGTTTCAAAGCATTCCTGGCCACTTCTGAACTGCAGGGCAAGCCGTCGAAGGTCCCGATTTTAATTGCAGCAGCGCAATAAGACTCCCTGCCTTCCGTGTTTGTATTTTTTATAATTTATTTATTACATGTATATCTTACTAGAAATGACTGTCAGCAATTAACTTGACATGGGAAAAGAAGTCTAAAGATCCATGGTAGAATAAAATCAAAGCAGTATAATAATAATAAATAAAAAGTCAAGAATAGAGCAAGCAAAAAAAAATTATTAGAGAAGTCCTGATCTAATTACAATATTGTCTGGAACAGTTCTCTTTGAGAATCTTTTTCAATGCAAGTAAGGAAAAGACCACACTGATTTCCATGGAGTAGCAGCTCCTCCTGGTATGAGTTCCTCTACTTCCCCAAGTGGGGCACTGCTGCAGCTTGGTCCTCCAAAACTGTTGAGTGGACATGCAGGAATGAGTTAGGATAGGAGATTAAACAGGGAAGAAGAGAAAGAGTCTAATTGTCAGTTGTTCATAATGTTTCTATTGGCTGCAGAAATGTTTGCGTCTGTGTGTTTAGAGTTGTTCCAAATTTGTCATTGGGTTTTGGATGTGTCAAATGGGGTTTAGGATTCTTCAGTCGCTCTTGTTGTAGTTTCCACTCTGGGGGTTTCTTCCAACTTTTGGAGGCTTGCAGAGAGGTGAAAAAAAAAGATCCTGTGTTTGATTTAGCAGATCTTGTCATCTTTCAGTAACTAATGAGATCATCTGAAAATGAAACTGTAACTGTGTATGTGTACAATAGCAGTTGCAGATGTACTACAAGCTTTCTCTGAATAGGATTGAAAAGTCCTTGATCTGAAATATCAAGAAGGAAAAATATCAAGAGAAAAAGAAAGATGCTTTTTTTCTGTCACAATGAGAAGTTAAGTGGCATACAAAAGCCTTTAGGTTATCGCCAATAAAATGGAGGACAAAAATAAGAGAGACTTGCTGCATTCTGTCTTAACACCTTTCTTTTTCTTTTTCTTTTCTTTCTTTTAGGAATCTGCATGACCTTTCCTGGCAGCCCTTAAATTGAGTGCCTCTTCTCTAATGTTTGTGAATGGAATGCTGCCTGGGTCTCAGTGGTACTGTTTCAGAAACAGCTGAAATAAATTGGCAGCATTTGAAAGCTCTTTGGCAGTTGGATTTGCAACAAAGCAGCTGTATGAGAAGATTTCAAGGAGCAGTGTGGTCAAAGAGCAGGGGCAACTGTGGGTTGTCCCTCATTCAGACATAGTTTGATGGATTGAACTCACAGCTAAGGAGATTATGTAAGGATAACAAGCGGTAGAATAGTCTTCTGAGTATATGTACTAACAGCAGATGTGTGACAGGAATTTATCCTTTATTATATTGACAAAAAGGAAGCATTTGATAGGATTTGTAACAAAGCTGTGTTGAATCCCTGTGAATGTGCCAAGAATCCTAGCACTGCAAAGAATCCTTTTTAAGAAAAATGAAATTTTCTGATTTGTCTATATTTATTTATTGTGAGCCTGGAAATATCTTCTTCTGTCACAGTTCAGTATTGCATAAGTAAGTGCTTATATGGAAAAAACACATTGTAGAAATTGAAAAGTGGTGCTCAAGAGCCTTTTGCACGGTTCTTTATAGGGCAGCTCTCTGACATTTATCTTGAACTAAGTCCCGGTGGGTTCGGTGCTGCCTACTCTGGAGGTAAAATAACTCAAATTTTCAATGAAATATTTCCCCTATAAATAACTGCTGTTACATGCTGGTGTTTGGCAGAATTTCATAATTCAAAAAAACACATTAGATGTCATTTATTTCAGTAGGGATGTTTTGTTAGTTATACCGGGCATTTACTATATCAGTGAAATTTAATGTGCTTTTTTATACATTTTTTTTTAAAGTTTGAAATAAAACCTAAAATTATGAATGCCTTTGGCCCCCCCTGGACAGTGTCTCAGGACCCTAGGATTCTTTACATTTTTTTTTTTAATAAAGAAATGAGCAGAGTTAGCGCAGAAAGCATTCAGGATCTGAAACTCTCTACCATTTCCAATCACTTTCTATGTCTCCAAACTAGAGGGCAAACTATTAAAAAAAAAAGTCCCATTGCTTGAAAAAGTAGGTAGAGATGTATATATCAGTAATTATTTCTGCTCTTTAAAATAGTAGCAAAGAGAGCATTAGAATAGTTCTGCCACTCTGCAATACTATTCCCTCTTACTTGTGGATAAAAATTGAATTCAATGGGATCAATTTTCTCAGTAAATATGGATAAAATTGCAGTCTTAAAAGCTACATTTTTAAACCCACAAATACATAATTGAGGGAATGCAGTCTTATCCATACAGTAGTTACTTGAAAGTTAAGGCTCACAAAAAAGTAGGATGTAAGGTCAGACATCCGAGGCAGATGGGTATGCAGGGTACTATGTTAACATTATTATTGCAAAATTCACATTTATATAATTTTTGCATGAGGAACCATATTTATGTAAACTTTGTAAATAATCTGACATGCATTTCAGTATTGTGTAAAACTTTTGATAAAATATGTATAGAAATTTCACTTATGAAAGCTTTTTCATAAATTAATTTTGTCATCCTTATCCATTATCTATGGACAATGGTCATTTTTGTTTGTGTAATTTACACTTTATATAATTAGATTACCCACCCGCCCACGTATTAAAAATGAAGAACTAAGAAGTATAAATTACGTATAATATACTGTTCATGAAATGTTTGATTCAACTAAATTCATATTGATTATGTTGCCTATGTCAAACAGTGATATATGCAAAAAGATTCTGTCCCTGCTATGTCCCTTCAAAACTTTCAGTGGTACAGCCATCACACTTGCTGATCATGCTTTTCTTCTCTTTTCTTCAGTCTTTCCCAACATTATGGACTTATCAGAGAAGCTAGGTCTTCGTATAATGTTTCCAAAATATGATAATTTGCCCATTTGTGCTTTAAACGAAACTTTTGGCTGACTCGTTCTGTGATCTGTTCATTATTTTCTTGGCTACTAATGTTTCCTCGTGAGTCTTCTCCAACATTCAGAAACTTCAGTCTTCTTCCCTTTGTGCTTAATCAAAGCCCAACTTTTACCTTCATGATGCTGATCTTTGTAGGTCACAGCATCTGTATATTTTTTCTCAGATTTTCATTGCTGCCTTTTCATGTGCTAGTCTGTGGCATATTGCTTTATAGCTGATAGGTGATAGGTGATCCTAAAATGCAAAAGCTATTCTCAGTATCTTCATTGTCAATTCTGAGGCTGGTTGTTGTACCAGTTATTAGTTTGGTCTTTCTTATATTTAATCTTCATCCCATTTTTTCACTGTGCTCCTTGATTTTCATTATGAGGGCTTGCAGATTATTTTCAGTTATTAGAGTAGTGTGGAAAAGTACTCATGTTTCTTCTTCCAAATTTTGAAACCATCTCATCTTGTTCCAATTTAGCCTCCTTTATTCTAGAGTTGCCTCTTAGCTAGATGGGCAGTATATGCGTTTAATAAATAAATGTAAGTCAAATAAATAAGGAGAAAATATACACTTTGTCTCAGTCCTTTGCCAACCTGGAGCCAAGTCTATTTTGCTATGTTCCTTGCAGACTTGGCTTCCTGTCCTAAGTATAGGTTTTGCATAAGGGCAATGAGTTGTTCTTGAATTTTCCCAAGGACATTGCACATCATGAGACGGTCAATGCAATTGAAAACCTTGGTGGTATCAGTGAAGCGCTTTGCTAACTTCTTTTTGTTATTCTTTGGCTTTATCAAATATCAATAATGTTTCTTGCTCCTCAGCCTTTTTTAAAACAGGCTTCATTATCTGGCCGCTTGCTTTTCTATAGAATCTGTAGGATTCAAATTTGTGTTGATTCTGTTGTCAGAACTGTCTTAGTTTTATTCTTCCTGGATATGAATGCAACATTGTTCCTTCATTGTTTTTCATGTTCCAAGTGATAAACAGGATGATCTTTTGACTGAAAGTATCCAATTTCAGGCCATTTCAGTTCACTGATGCCTAAGATGCCAACGTATAGTTGATTAATTTCATCTTTCACTGTATTGAACTTTCCCACATTTATGCTTCGTACATTCCGCATACCCATTGCAACTCTTGTCTTTGTGGCTTCGGTTTTTCTTTTCCTACGTTACAACTACATCCTGCATATTTTAATCTAACCACACCATATACAGCATTAATACTCAAAAAAATATCTCTCAGTAGCTTTTTCAATGCATCTGATGTGAGAAGCCCATCATTCAGCATTATTTCCTCAATCACTTTACCTGGTCTATCCATGTGATTTTCTTAGTGAAATACAGGAATAGCTTAACATTGCCTTCTCCCACTCAGTATAAAATTATACCATTAAATTTAATAATATAAATAAATGAATCCTTGCCACCCAGTATAGGTGCCTTTTACTTTAGCTGGGCAACTAGGGTTACCTTCATGCCTTGGGCGATCCATTTGGTGCACACACTCAGCCGTGCTCTCTGCCACCACAATAAGGAAGAATAGCAGGGCTGAGAAATGGGCGGGAAGTGGGGAGCAAAAATGTATACTGACAGACTTCTCTCAAACACAATATTTTTAAAATATTTTATATGTAGAAATACAAGTGTGACTTGAAGCCTTGTGTACATGTTTATATATTTTTCTATTTGTTAATAAATAGTCATTCAAATAATATATGTATGTCTCAGAATACTCATCTTTTTGTACATGAATATGGGATGTGCCACTTTCTGCTGCGGCTTAGATTAATAATATTATGCTTAAAGATGAAACATGGATAAATATCTGAGCAACTCCTGATTCTTAATTATGAGCCTTACATTTTTAATCGAGGCATAAATTTGCGATCATGAACAATAGCATATTTTTTACACTTTAGCATGGAAGCTGCTTGTGAAGATAATTCTGACCTGAGTGCCTCAATGGTTTAGCAGTTGAGTTGAATAGGACAGGAAATGGGTGGAATAACTAGAGAACAGTGTGTGCTCAGCCACATGGGACAGAAAAGGACATTATCTAAATAGTTGCTGACTGTTAAAAGGAATCCAGCAAGGAGGGAGGGATTGAAAGGGAGTCCCAAACATTTTTCTATCGTTCTGGAGAGGGCCACCCAGCTAATTTGAAATACCAGGAAGAGAACAAGAAAAATTAAAGGCCTTTACACTGGTAATACCCTTAAGAAAAAAGGTGAAAATAAATGGTTAGAAGTCTGCACTTTTTCTACTGCCTGAAAATTATAGAGCATTATGTGTGCAACAAGTGCAAGTTCTACTAGGGTTTTAAAAATAAATATGAGGATTGGAACAAGAAGTTTTATTAAACCAAACAACAGGTATTGACTGGGATGGCCCCATCGATTGCTGGCTCAGAGGAAGAGGCATCGGTGTGGGTGGGTGTGATTGACTAGATGGACAGTCGTCTGCTGAAGAAGAGGAAGGAGAAGCATGGCTGCCACTGGTTAACACTGTCAATCAGCAATAAGCTGCCTCCGATGGGGAACACTGCCGCCCTCATCCGATCTGCCAACACAAAGAACAGAGAAAGAGGATGCTCAGAAGTGGTTTGTTTTGCATTGAAATCTCATCTTGCCCATTGGGTTGTCTCCAACAGTTGATGCTGCAGGTTTACCACTGATACTTAGGGTGGTGACTTATTCATTTCAGAGCCAGGTCAGCCCAGGGTGAAAAGAATTGTTGCATTGTGTGTTATTTTCCTGTAAAGGAATGCAAATGAAGAAATCTTTGAAAGAAAATCAGGTATTGTGATGAGTTTTCCTTGAAGGAGTGTGTACCTGACTTTTTTATATATATATATATTTATATATATATATATATTATTTCCCTCCAAAAGATGCTTGACTACAGATGGGAAGATGAACATGGCACGTGTCTGCAATTCCTTGAAGCAGCTGGGAATATTCATCAGCAACATATGGCAGTCCTACAATTCCTAAAACAGATGCAGCTGCTTTAAGGGGTTGGGGGAAAATGTTCCTTTCTACCTCTTATGTGCTTAAAGCACCATTTGGAGATTGAATCCAAAGTATTGCACAATCCTAAAAAAAAAAATTATCTTTAAGGAAAAAATCAAATTGTATTAAATTTTATCGATTGACTCGAATAGGAAAGCCATGCTGAAGTTGTCTACTAAGCTTGTATTGCTTAAGCATACTTTTTTATCCTAAAAATGTGAAGTTGCTAAATTACCTAGAGCCTGTTTGGTGTAGTGGTTAAGGCTAAGGCTAAGAAACAAGGAGGCTGTGAGTTCTAGTTCTGCCTTAGGTATGAAAGCCATCGGGACGGCTTTGAGCCAGTCACTCTCTCCCAGTGCAACTCATCTCACAGGGTGGTTGTTCTAGAGAAAATAGAAGGACAAGGGTATTAGGTATGTTTACTGCCTTGACTTACTTATAAAGTAATGAGGGTAGGCTATAAATAAAATAAAAATACTAATTATTTGTTTGTGAACATGCCATAATTACAATTTTTCCTACGTTGGAGGCATTAGATGGCAAGGTTAAAACCCTTAATTTCCCTTTAAGCACTCACTCCAGAAGATTAAATTACTTTCTCTTCCTCTTTTACTGAACTTCATTGTGGAGCGAGGATTGCATTACAACCTCAAGCACATTCCAATTCATTTTTTTTAAAAAGGCAAAAACAAAACCCTTATTGGCTTCAATGTGTGCTGTTGTTGAAAGAATGGGACTGATATACTCGCATAACAAAGAAGCACAATGCAGGCCTGTATTAATAGGGTTCAAGTTAATCCTCTTTGGTTTTAGCAGAAGCGCTGGCAAAACTGTCCTTGGCTTTATAACACATGGGAGCTGTTTTGAGGCTGTTTTGCAAGATGAAAAGCTTGCGAAAGGATTGCCAGAGGTCCTACTGGGTTTCACAGCAGGAGTAAAGAATGAGATTCAGGAATAGTTGAGCAATAGCTTGGAGAAGAAGCAAAGAGGCAACTGACAGGATAAATGGTAAAAGATTCTACTCCGGTTTTATTCTATCGGTTCTATCCTGTCAGAGGTTGTGAAGTAAAACTTTGGAACTTTTAGCCAAGAAATTACATTTGCAGCACGGCTGTTACTAAAAGGGCTGTCTTTCCTCTTTTGCTCTCCTGCTTATGCTAAACTCCCATTTCATTGAGGGCCACATCAAGGTTGTGTTTGACCTTGGGCATCGGATGGACATGGCCAGGGTGGGCATGGCCAACTCAATGTCACTTGTGTTGTGGGTGCATGTGGCAGCCCAAAATGGAGCTTGGGGGCAGTGGTGAAATCCATCTTTTTAAACTACCGGTTCTGTGGGCGTGGTGTGGCTTGGTGGGCATGGCAGGGGAAGGATACTGCAAAACCTCCATTCTCACCCCACTCTGGGGCCAGTCAGAGGTGGTACTTGCCGGTTCTCTGAACTGCTCAAAATTTCCACTACCGGTTCTCCAGAACCTGTCAGAACCTGCTGGATTTCACCCCTGCTTGGGAGGCTGTGATGGCCTCCTGCAACCATCTGCCAGCAAAATTCCTGTTTTCTGCAACAGCAAGCTCAATTTTTACATTGCTTCATTCAACATTTTACAATTATTTAAGCAACCCAATGAAGTACATACAAACTGCACATCGCAATAAATCTTTGTAATGAGGTGTAATACCAGGATAATACCTTTCTCAAAAAGCCTCAGGATGTGGCATTTGGCTTCTCAGGTGAGTAGATCAACACTTGGGTATCATATCAAAGTTAAGCACTCCTGATAATTCAAGAGGAAAGAGGGAATTAGGATCTTTCTTAAATTTATTGCGTTGTAACCTGTTATTCTTGTTGGAGCAGCCTTCAACAATCAATCAGCAGGTGACAGAAGAAGCTGTTACTTCAAAAGACCAGTTTATCAACAGTTCTTCTATTTTCAGAAAGAATCTTGGGCAACATGTTTTTTTATTTAATCTCCCTTTATTTAATCAATAGAACTAGTTTGGCAATAGTTGTGCATAGACTTCATAGGTTTGTGATGCTCACAGTGCTGCTTCTCGCTTAGGATCTGGTTATAAAGCTGTTGTAGATATTAAGATTTCTACGCAATATTTGCTATTCAGTGCTTTTGGTGCTGACAAAAAATAATTGCAAACGAAGAGACAAAATGGAACAATACGCAGGAATTATAATTCCAGAATACAGTAGCACAATGAAAAAAAAATCTAGCAGCAATCCACTTAAATAATTAGATGTTATCATAAAATGACAGTAATAGAAACAGCGGTGTGATCTATGGTTCTGGAAATGAGAATGTTGTGCTAATCCAGCTCACTGTTAAAGGTATTTTGTGGAGAGCTAACCTGGCAAGTCCATGTGGAATGGAGGAGGATTTTTTTTAAAGAAAATATATTAAGTTAGTTAGGTAAATAGGTTAGATGGTATTTATCCATGTTTTTCAAACTTATAAGATGTGTGGGCTTGAACTCCCAGAATTCTTCTTGGAAGTTCCCTGCCCAGCAGTTTAAAAATTATTCAATTAGTCAGTCTACATCAAGGCTGCCAAACTTCTGGCCCGTGGGCTGGATGCGTCATGCGCTGGCCACACCCACACCAGTTTAGCAAAGGGGGGAAAAGTCCCAATAGGTCATGTGATGCCACCAATGACGTGAGTTTGACACCCCTGGTCTATATAGCAAAACTTTTGCTGTAAATGCATATTAGCTTCCTTTCCTCTTATATACCAAAATATAGCCAGCCATTCTGAAATAGAACAAAGGGCCTAGCTAAACTGTCCATGAGGACTAAGTGCTGGCAAATCAAGGAGAGAAGAAACCTGGAATTTAGGAGAAACTTCCTAACAGCGAGGACAATTAACCAGTGGAACAGCTTGCCTTCAGAAATTGTGGGTGCTTCATCACTGGAGGTTTTTAAGAAGAGACTGGACTGTCACCTGTCTCAAATGGTATAGGGCCTCTTGCTTGGGCAGGGGGTTGGACAAGAAAACCTCCAAGAGCCTTTCCAGCTCTATTCTGGTTGGTTGGTTGGTTGGTTGGTTGATTGATTGACTGTTGCATGTTAAAATTCAACCTACTATTTGGATCCCTGATTTACAGGTCCTGATATCAGGCAACAAACCATTAACAAACTGAAGGAAGCAGCTGAGACTTTAGAGTAAGATTTTCCACAATGCACATATCCTAGTTGTTAATGTTCAGGACAATATATCATAGTTAAGAGCTGGTATAACAACACAAGTTTTAAGAGGACCATGTATGCTGTTTGAGTCCCTTTCATAAATGTTTAAATAATATTATTCACATTTTACATACTTCTATAAATTATATGTGTGTGAGAGAACGACACTGTGTTTTTAAAATCCTTCAGAAATGCAAGAATGGTGTAGAAGATGTTGAATGACAATTTCCCCCAGCACCTGCAATGGTAGGTAATGGTGGGAAGAGATGGGAACTGTAATTCTCAGTCTCTTTTTCTTCCTTCCTGTCTATTTCAAAACTTTAAATATTTGAAGCAAAATATGTTCAAATGACTCACATTATTATATTATATTATATTATATTATATTATATTATATTATATTATATTATTATTATATTAGTATATTAGTATAGTATAGTATAGTATAGTATAGTATAGTATAGTATAGTATAGTATAGTATAGTATAGTATAATGTTGTATTGTGTTGT